ATTTTTTGTGTTAATTATTTTTTCATAAAAATATTTGTTTTATTCATTAATTTTTTTATTTGAATTGTTATTTGATTGAGTTTAATGTTGGGCAGTGAAGTAAAAATAGATTTTGTTCTATTTTTTTATTAAACACATAATAATTCCTTATTATTTTGAATCGAAATATTGTGTTTCTCTTAGTATTTAATTATGACTGTGTCCTTATATAAATGAGATGCTGATGATATGTGAATGATACTAAATGGAGTAGATTTGGGATTGATGACGATAGGTTGTCAGTGGGATGATAACTATAAGTTACGGTGTAGAGATTTATTTAAGGTGGATATAAAGGTTAAGATTAGACTTGGCTCAGTGATGTGGGCCTTTAAATACGCTTGTAGATAATCAAGCGGAGAGAATCACACTACCAAGGAGGACGGTGGCCTCCATGGTTGATACTGATGGCCAATGGCGATGGGAGTTGATTTTTAATTTAGCACCGAGCAGTATTCAACAGCGGCTTGCAGCAACAATGCCACCACGACAAGGCAATAGGAACGATGCGTTAGGCTGGAAATGGACTGTTGATCGCTGCTTTTCGGTTAAATCAGCGTATGACATGAGACAGGTAACTCCGGATGCTAGTCCTCATAAAGTTTGGAAAGTGATTTCGAAATATAGAGGGTTACAACGGATTAAAGTCTTTTTGTGGTTAATAGCCAATGAACGTTTATTAACCAATACGGAATGAGTCAGACGACACTTAACATCAAGCAATTGCTGTGGAGTTTGCGGCCAGCAGGGGAAACAATAGACCATTTATTTCGAGCATGCCATGCGGCCTTGGCTGTTTGGATAATGTTAATTAAAGCTGAAAAATTAGATGAGTTTTTTACCAGGGATATACGAGATTGGTTGCAGATTAATATTGCTAATCCGGGAATCTATGCACGGGATGACTGGGACTGGGACTTACTCTTTAGTTCGATACTTTGGTTGATTTGGAAGAACCGTAATAGGAGAATTTTTTATTTGGATTACATCGAACAGGAGTCGGTATTAGCACAAGGTAGGCGTCTTTGTTTTGAGGCTAGGCGAGCAATTGAAACAAATTTGCAAATTAATTCGTGTTCGTATCAAAGGATTAGTGTGCCTAATCATTGGATTCCGCCTCCTACTAATTGGTGCAAGGTTAATACTGATGGATCCCGTAAAATATGAAATGCATTTGCTACGTGTGGGAGCGTTATTCGATCTTCGAACGGTGGATGGATTCGTGATTTCTCTAAAGTAATAGGTATATGCTCTATCGTTGAAGCGGAGTTATGGGGAATACATGAAGGTCTCTCGCATGCATGGAATCTTGGCGAAAGATAAATTATGGTTGAAGCGGACAGCTTGGAGGTCATTCGGATGCTAAAAGGAAATGCTAAAAAGGATCAGTTTTTACTTTGCTCGATCGGGTCAATGAGTTATTAAAGTAGGAATGGACGGTTACTTTGAGGCATATAAATCGGGATGCGAATAAGGTGGCCGATAAACTAGCCAATTTAGCCATAGCAAGAGGCTCGGATCACACGGTTTTCTATGCTCCACCATTATTAGTAAATTATCCCTGAAACAAAAGTGACAATTTGTGTAGTTTACCCTTAAAATATAATGGATTAACTACAGCCTTAGTCCCTGAAGTCTCTAAAACTTCCAAAATTGAAAACTTTTAGAATTTATTGACCAAAATAAGAGAGAAGAAAATAATTAAGTGATGAATGGTATAATTTACCTAATTTATAACAACAAGAATAAATAGAATAGTTGGTCAATAACAGAAAAGATTGATCAAAGAATCACATTAGATTCTTTTTTTCGAGTCATTAATCCAAAAATTAAGATGGGTTTCTTTCGAAAGTTCACGGACCTTGGTGCCTTTTTGGCTATTAATATTAAACCACGAGAGTCAACGAAGTGAATAAAAAGTGTTGGGTGTGAAGTTATTGCAAAACTTTTAATCGCTTTTAAGTTAAGTTATATGTTTTTATCATTTTTAGTACAAATTAATATTTTTATCTAAACTTTTAAAAAAAATTATAGAAATCCGTTAGTTTTATTAAAAATAGAATTCAGAATTACAATGAAGTTTTACAAATATAACGTAAACAACTTATAATTAGGATATTTTACTATAATCATTAACACAAAAACTAATAATCTAGATCACACAAGGACCAATTATAAGGAAAAGATTAAAAAGCTTAACCAAAAAGCTTGAATAAAATAAAGATACGAATAAATCTGACTGCATCGGCAAACGAATCACAAAAAGAGATTAAACTATTAAATGTCACTGACAAATAGCAAATCAGAGTCAAACGACGTGAAAAAACTATCAACAAACGTAAAACATGTATCCAAATCAATTCAAGGGTCTAAAGCAGAAAAAATCATCATGATAACAAATAAGCATTATCTTGATCAGTCGTGGTGATATAAAATTCAACCCGGAGAAAAAAGATAAACAAAAACAACAGCAAAAAACGTAAGCTACCAAAAAATAGAGGAAAAATGTGCTACAAAGTCAGAGATAAACATACCATAAAGACAGAGAATATGTCACAAAGACATAATTATTTTTATTAAAAAATTAAAAAAGACAGAGAAAAAAATAATTGACGAGTGGAAATCAGTTAAAAATCGGTGTCACCGTCGATTAAATAAAATTAAAAAAAAAGATTAGATTGATTAATAAAATTGACACAAATTATAAAAAAAGAAAAAAAATATGACTATGAAGAGTGTGGTTATCTAAAAATTAAAATTAAATTAGATACATAGTCAAATGTGATATTAAAAAAATGATCAAATCTTATAATCGACCCTTGTAGTGAATGTATAATAATAAAATGCTAATCAACGTCACGGTATTTTTCATATGTATTGGATAAAAAAGCAACGTTATTTAACTATTAATCGAATGAATCCGACGTCCTTATTTCATAACGATACCCGTTAACGGTAAATCCGTTAAAATTGGCAGTAGGGTTGTTGATAATCCACGCGCGTTCAGGTGAAAGTGCATGTCACATACAGCTGGACCCGCCGTTCTTTAAACCTTTTCTTCTCGTACAGGCTGGCTTGTTGGCAGATATTTATTTTGTAATTAATTTTTGTTGAGATTAAAAAATATCCCAAGAAATAAAATATACGCACAAACGAACACACAATTTTTAAACTTCACAAACCAATCGTCTTTTCCTCATGAAACACTCAACAACACGCTGTAGCCAAATACCTGGACCGTCATTTAGTTCCGTCACAGACGGATAACAGCCATTTCTGATTGGATGATTCCGCCGCTGCTTTTCTTTCTTACCGCAAGATATAAATCGTGATATTTTGATTTCTCCAAACCCTAACAAACAGAGAAACAAGGGGAAAAGGTAAAAAATAAGAAGAAATTGTTGCTAATATATCAAAGACGACGGTAGGTCTGTAAACGGACCGAACGCACACGAACATAGGTATGTTTATGTTCGTTTATTTAATAAATAAACGAACACGAACATAAATGAAAAAAAAAATTTGTTCATGTTCGTTCATTAAGGAATATAGCTTGTTCATGTTCGTTCATTTAATAAATAAACGAACATAAACGAACACGAACATAAACAAACACGGACATAAATGAACACGAACATAAACGTTGGAGACCCCACCTTCCATTGTTCTTTCATGAAAAATAGTCGACAATGCAAATCAACCAAATCTACAGTGATAAATAGCGTAAGAGCTGATTAGAAGTGATGAAATGTTTGAAGATATCATATATTTCGATCGATCTTTTAAATATATTAAATGATTCACTTGACTTTAATTTAACACTATAACATTTATCTTAGTGGTCTATGATCACATATGAACAATCATTTTCCACTACGTTATTCTAATAAATTCGCCGGCTAAAAGTTTTGTGACATCCATGTCAAACTTTAGTGAGATTTGTTAATAATGGTCCTTTCTATTGGTAGAGTAGAAAATTTAACAGCATAAAGATTTCGAACGGTACAAATTGGACTACAAGGCAATAACATAGATCTGAAATCCCTCCGATGCTACATATCTAACTGATATTATTGCTAAACCACCATTCAAAATTTTAACGTACCTAAAATCTACTCCACAACTAAAAGTCACACAAGAACTATGAAAACAAAAGTTCATTGTCAAAGTGTATTTTCTACTTATTAATGGGTTCTTCCTGGAAAACCCATTACTTCCTGGAAAACCCATTACTTCCGTTATTACACTCTTTTTTAGAAATTGCATAGAAATATTTGTTTTGTTTTCTGGAAAATTCTATATATTTTTCTCTTTACTGATCCTCATATACTTCCGATTGTTACCTTTATCTTTCTATCTATTTCTAAAAAGAAGTATGATGTTTTCTTGAGTTTTAGATGTGAAGATATACACAATAACTTTACATATCAACTATTAAGGCAAATAAAACAGAAAAATAGATGAAAATAGACCTGTAAAACTTCAGATTGTACTATAATATAACTTGTTTTGAAGCTTTCACTGATCGTCTCCACTGTTCAGTGAACACTAGGGTTTGGAAAAAAAGGAAAAATGAATATAGGTGTGAGGTGTCTCACGGGTTAACATATTGGATTTAATCTCCAAATAAAATTGGGTTAATTATGGATTTGGTCATCAGAATATCAGATTAATTAATATTTTTAAGATACTTACAAATTGGTCACCAAAATTGATTTAAGAAGATTGGATTAAACATAAATGAACGAACATAACCGAACGAATATAAACGAACATAACCGAACGTTCACGAACGTAAATGAACGAACGAGACCTATGTTCGTGTTCGTTCATTTAATTAAACGAACACAAAATCTTGTTCATGTTCGTTCATTTAATAAATAAACGCACATAAACGAACTTCCCGTCGCACTGTTCATGAACGGTTCGCTGAACGTTCAGTTCATTTACAGCCTAGACGACGGATTGAAATTTCATTTATGGTGGAGGCTGCCATGGCCTACATCTGCAGGAACAAAAACAACCGTTTCAACATCGGAGCCAAGAAGACGAAAGGAGCCGGTGACGGAGGTGAAGATGATACGGATGGTGAGGAGTGTGACGTGGAGGTCTGTGATACGCTAAGCAACAGCTTTAAGAAGGCGCAGGCCGTGTTGGATCAGAACCGGGAACTCATCAAGAAAGTGAACGAGAATCACCAGTCAAAGATTGCCGATAATCTCGTTAAGAACGTCGGATTGATACGGGAGATCAACGGGAATATCTCAAAGGTTATCGATATTTATTCCGCTTTGTCGGTCAATTTCTCGGAAATCGTTCGTCAACGCAAAAGGACCGGGAACGGGAAGATGGAAAACATGCGCTCTTGAACTGAATTCCAGTAATTATCCCAAAAACCTTCAGCTTTCGTCTTTTGATTTGTGGTCCAATCTTTTATCATGTTAGTCAGTATGTTTGTGTCAGTGTGTCGTTTGTTTTGTTCAATAAAAAAGTTTCAGTTTCAGGTGGTGTTTAAGGTTTTACGAGTCAAGTTGTCCTCCGTTTTATTATTAGTCATTTGTGAACTGAACTCTGATGGGACCATGTTTTCACATTTAAGGTTAATGTTAAGCTGCTGATGGTTGTGCTTGATGTTTTGTGTGTCTTTGTTTTATTTTATAGCTGCGGGATTTCCTCGTCTGCCTTTTAATGTTGCCGGCAGACAGATGAATCATTGAATACGAGGTATTTTTCATACACAGAGACTAATCCTTGTCTTACCATTGCACCTAATACTTGTTGGTCTTTGTTTGCATCATCTTCTTAGTATTTGTTTGCAAATTTCAGTAGTAGGTGTGGGATCACAGCTGCAAAGCTCAATTTACATTCTTGGTAAAGGTTTTTTAGTTTCGCTACTACTCTTCATTTCTTATATCTTTGTGAAGAGTTTTCATTCTCTGGAGGTGAATCTGTGGTGGATGCATTTGTAATTGTTAGTTAGGTAGCAGTGGCAGATAGAAGATTGGGGGTAAAGATATCCTTGGCACCGGCCAAGGTGGGAGTAATGGTTTTGCTTATGGATGCTGCTGACTTCTATGATGCTTTCTGGTGAAATCACGACTATTTTGGTAAGGGATGGAAGGTTGGTTTATGGTTGGTAGTTGTATGGATGGTTAACGACTAAGTTCATTTGATAATTTATTGGAAGATGCATAATTGACCTTGTGGATGTTTAAGATGGTTGCTGCTCAAGTCATAGTATAGTTTGGTTTGAGGTTATTGATTAAGGTGGAAGCTGAAATTGTGCTGCCTGTGAGGCAGAATTGGGGCATTTTTCTTCCTTAAGTGTTTAGGAATGGGGGAGGAGACCAGATTTTGGTGAATAATACATTGATACTATGTTCACTCTTCTGGTTATTCTTTCCATGTCTAATCCTACAATGTTTTACTCCACAACCTATTCACTTCTCCAATTTTAGGATGCTAGAACACGCTACTGCATATTTTTGTTCTCCGGATTCCTACTTCTTTGACTTCTGTTTCTCTTCATCTTGTCTCCCTAGTTAATTGAATGCACTGTTTCATTCTTTAGAAGGTGAACCTTTGGCTGTTTTAGGAAGTCATTGTAGGATCTCAATAGATGTTTCCCACTTCGCTCTGAAACAACTCCAGTTATTCTTATTGGTTTTACACGAGTGCATATTTATAGCCATTTCAGTCACATCTTTTGTAGTTTTTATAGCAAAATCAGATGATGATGATGGAAATTAAGCAATTATTTTGACCCACCAATTCAATGCACAGCACCATCCTGATCTAATGGTAAGATTTATTAATCAAATAGACATAAGAAAGGGAGAGATTGAGAAAGGTGAGGATTGATTTGCTTGAAACGATAGCAGAAAATGCACCAATGCCGAGATTATGATAAGTTGGGAACGTTTCGGTAACCCATTTTTGTTAAATTTGCCTCATTTGGCGTTCTCAATGAGCTCAAGTCCAGAAATGCCAGATTATTCTCTATATAGGTACTTGGTTTCTGTTAGTGACTTCAGTTTATATGTATTTAACATTTAATTGAGAAGATCGATTGTTCATTTGTTTGTTTGCTTCATTTTTACAATATTCTTGGAGATAATGGATTTGTCCAACTACGACGCAGACCCTGGAATTATTGCAGAGTAGGTTTAAAATTAGCAATTTGAATGCTTGCCAGTTTCAATGGGTAAAACTAGCTTCAAAGCACGTGGCGTATTGTTGAACCACCTGACGTGGATACAGTGACTTGTTTTCGGTGGGATGATTATTCAGTAAATGAATCGAACATAACGGGATTATTTATATATATATATATATGTTTATTTTTTGTGGATAATTCATATTCATTAAAAATTGTGTTTTACAGAAAATCAAAATCATGTTCATTATTATTTATTAAACTCGATAAGTGAACAAAAATCAAATCAAACCTATGAACTATTCTGTTCATTTAAAATAGAGGGCAGTTGTGGTTCAGTTCAAGGGTCCGAACCCTAAGTGCATGTCCTAGAATCACCCGGCATGATAATCAGAGAGGAATTGCCTTTCCAAATGCAACATGTTTGCCATCCTACCTTTACAACAAACTAAAACTGTGAGCCGTTGGTGATTTGATCATTTGAAAAGTTAATGTTATTTTGAACCATGATCTTGGACAGATTCATTGTTATATATTACCATGATTAAAACCGTCACCCAAAGAAATCGTTACTGATTAGATTTCATGTCGTTTTCACTGAAATCATTTAACGAATTTGATTATGTTTATAATTTCTTTTTAATTTAAATAAAAATATTGCTAAAAATAATTATATTAAATATCTTAAAGATGTGGGTTCAATCGTATTTAGATCTATATTAAAAATAAACAAAAATACTAATCGGAGAGTTTGAGATTTCAATCTCAAACAATTTGATGTAAACTAACACGTCTTTCAAGTCGTGATTTAATACAACTAACAAAAAAAAACAGCACTATATTTATACGGTTCCAAACATACGTTTGACCAAACAAGCTAACAAAGTCATGTGTTAGATCAGACGAAAAAACGTGCTGATGTTTTAAAGCTACGTTCACATTGCTATTGCACGTCCAGTTGGATCCTTTGCCCAATTGCCTTCTTCTTTCTGCTTGTTGTTTTAATAATCGCTTTTGCACAAATCAAACTACTCCAGTGGTTAAAAGAAAATGTTATTATTTTTAGAGGTAATAGATTCGAGAATCAAAGACTGTACACCAAGGCCGACTCTGGGCAGGGGCAAGAGGGGCACCTGCCCAGGTCCCATAATTTTAATTTATATTAATTTATTATATTTTAATAAATTAAATTAAAAGCAGTGTTCATAAATATTAATATATTATTTTCTTAATTAATGCAAGAGGGCCCATAAACGTATTTCTTATTGATTTATTGTTCTCATCATAACGTTAAAAACTATATTAATATACTAAATTAAAAGCATGTCCCATAAATATTAATAAACTAAATTAGAAGCATGCCTATAAACTTATTTTTTATTGACTTATTGTTCTCATCATAACAAACTAAATTAATCATAATGTCAATTTTGAAAACTATAGAAATAAGGGGTTCGAAGCTAGTATAGATATTGCTAAAAGTCTTGCATTAGTTATGAACATAGAGCCAATTTTTCCGACTAAGCGTCGTATTTTTAGAAAAAGACAATTTGATGAGAATGACCATGATGAAGAAATGCAATCAGCAGAGGAGTCTTTTAAAGTTAATTATTATTTTTTTTTGTTGATATGGCGGTTGCTTCTTTGAAAGATTGATTTGAGCAGTTAAAGATTTTTGAAAATTATTTTGGATTTTTAATTAATTCTACAAGGTTGAAGTCATTGGATGACAATAAATTAAAAGAATGTTCTAATAATTTTAAGATTATTTTTTCTCATAATAATTTGTCGGATGTTGATGCAGATGATTTTTATTCTGAAATGAAAGTGTTGCAATTGACTTTGCTAAATGTATTAATGTCAGCGCTTGAAGTTCTTGAGTTTGTTAAATCTAGAGATTGTTATCCTAATGTTTCAATTGCTTATCGAATCTTATTAACAATGCTGGTAACGATAGCATCCACAGAAAGAAGTTTTTCAAAGATGAAATTCTTGAAGAGTTACTTGAGGTCAACAATGTCACAAGAAAGATTGAATGGGCTAGCTATGTTATATATTAGAAAAATATGTTGGAAAGCATTGATGTTGACACTATCATCAATGATTTTACATCAAGAAATACTCGAAAGCGATGTTTTTTATAAGTATTTATATGCTTAAATATGTTTTTGACATTTTTGATATTGTAATGAATTAATATTTATTTAATTTAATAAAAAAATAATTAAAATTTTATATTACATATTTTTTAATATTCTTTTAAATTAGGGTTCATTTTTTAATTTTGTCCGGGTCAAGAAAAAGTCAGAACGGTATAGAGTCTTTGAAACAGATACTACCTATTGTAAACATTTAGATTAATCGAAAAGTTAACCGCTTTCAATTTTCAAAAAAACAAAAATTCTGCATATTGTACAGACGTTGATGACTAATTATGGATGTTGTAAACTTTTTTTTTTCTGGTAATGCCAATAAAAATCATTTCCGATAATGAACAATTATTAGCATATAGTCTTGAACTCATTGTATAAATCGCAAAATATATATTTCTAATTACTGTGATGTTTCCTTTAAAGTAATTACAAAAATCAAGATCTAATAGGGGAAATTGTACAATTAATCATTATCTAATTTTATCCGTAGTAAAATCATATGGTTATTGAACAAATCATTAAAAGTTTATCCATCTAACTTGAATATATATATATATATTCATTTCAAAGCTACAGCTAAATCTCGTATTCATTTCAAGAGAAGAAACTTGTGCATCTCATTTAGGGGGGGAAACGTTAGGTAAAAGTTAGCTAAAACTTAAAAAGTAAACACAATAAACCCTTTGACCTTTGATTTTCCCTTGAATAATATGATAATTTGGCTGACATGTATAAACGTTGTAATATCTAAGAAAGTTAATTAGTCAATAATTATATAATATAATTACTTCAACCTACCAAAAAAAATATTCAAAGTAAACTAGGATTAGGTACAAAAACATTTTTTGCTTATTAAAAATGACAAAATCCTAAATATGCGATATGAACGAGGTGACTTTACGCTTATAAAAACTGGCGACAACGATGCATACATCTGGCTCTCTTTCCTATGTAATATGTGTTCACACAAGGTCATAATAAATGATTTTAATTTATTAAACAACCCTAAGCTAATACTAAGAGTAGACAACATAAATACTAATAAATAGAGTTTGATGATAAACACCTCTCGTAAAGTTATAAAAAAATAATCATCATCAACCATACCTACGCCTCTATTTTCAAAGTTTAAAAAATAATTTTAAGCTTTAGTTTATTGTTGAATTTAATTATGAACAAATGGATTATTAAGCCTGGTTTTTTGGTAATTTGCGCCATGCTGTATTTACATTTAAACTGAAGATCGTGAGATTCTATTATAGAAAGCAGGGAAGTTTCGGGCGTGTTTACAGCTAAGGTAATGGAAACTCGGCGAAACTTACGCTTCATTGCTTGATCTCAAAACTAATTAAATTATAGCGTCATTATAAGTACATTTAATAAATATAATCATTTTAATTTGTAATATATTCAAATTTAAATTAAAAATGTTATAATAAATCTAAGCATAGTACATACGTGATGGATCCAAATAGTGAATTAAAAATGCTTTCCATCTCCACAGGGTTAAAAGTGATTTCGATTTCAGTACCGATCAAATATAATTTTAATTAATTTGATAGGGGATTATTACTGGGTTCAATATTTTAAACAAAATTAACAGAAGAAACACTCCTTGCGTGTCCAAATACAGAAACGAACAAAAACTAAACTAACCGCACCTCGGCCTTCTAATAATACAAATCCTAAATCTATATAGACAACCAAAGATTCGTCAAGATCAAATCATTTCAAACAATCATTTCTTTCATGTTTTGATCGATTGGAGAAAAGGAGAAGAAGAAGAAGCGGAGTTTATCTATGGGAGCTTACAGGATGTGCGGGTGCTTTACTAGGAAGTTCAAAGTCATTGAAGCGCCACCACCGCCGGATGTTAAAGCTGCATTCGAGAAGTACGCTGAAGGCGGGAATCAAATGACGGTGGAGCAGTTGCGTAGGTTCTTGGTGGACGTGCAGGGGCAAAGCGGTGCGACGATCGCCGACGCGGAGGAGATTGCGTTGCAGGTTCTGCAGAAACGACACCATATGGCGAAATTCAGAAGACACGCGTTGACTCTCGATGATTTCTATCAGTTCTTGTTTTCTGCAGATCTAAATCCTCCAATCGACACGAAGGTGACCTCCTTTTCTTTCCAGAAATTATTCGTTGTTTCTAGAATGCTCTATTTTTCATTGTTAATGATTTGATTTTTGAAGGTGATGGAGGTATATCAAAATTAGTTTTTTGATGTTTCTTGTTGAGAAAGGCTTTCTAGTAATGCAAAGTTAAATGGTTTATGAAATTTTGATCCGATAAGTGGGAAATTTTACGATTTCAAGAGAATTGAAGAATGTTCATCATCTTTTGTCCTGCTTGATTATGAGACAACGTTTCTTGACAACTAGACCGAACTTTGAATTCAGGTCCACCATGACATGACGGCTCCTTTGTCCCATTATTTCGTATTCACTGGACACAATTCATATTTGACTGGAAATCAGCTCAGCAGTGACTGTAGCGATGTCCCCATCATAAAAGCACTGAAGAGAGGTGTTAGAGTGGTGGAGCTTGATCTATGGCCTAATTCCTCAAAAGACGATGTGCATGTTCTACACGGAAGGTAAATTACTCTTAATTTCTTTGTTTTTTTGGATTGTGATGGTGAACTGTTACTGCTTGGTATAATATTGTTCCATGTGGGAATGCCTAGATACCTATTCCTTATTTATCTGCAACCCTTCACGTTTGATTTTACACTTCCATCTAGAGTCGGTTCATTTTTTTTTTGGTTCGCTTTGTTTTGCTTCTACTTGTTGAAAAGCCATTGAATTGTCTGTTTATGACTATAGGACTTTGACAACTCCGGTGGAACTCATTAAATGTTTGACATCCATTAAAGAACATGCTTTTAGTGCATCCGAATATCCAGTTATAATTACTCTTGAAGACCACCTGACTCCAAAGTTACAGGAAAAAGTTGCTCAGGTACTTAATAGCTTATACACTTCTTTTCCTTTCACCTTCCAGTTATGATTGGAAATCGAATCAGCTTTTGTTGATGGGAAAAATAATTCCATTGTAGATTATTAGTCAAACGTTTGGGAAAATGCTGTTTTGCCCTCAATCTGAATGTTGCAAAGAATTCCCTTCACCAGAGGATCTCAAGTATCGTATAATTATTTCAACCAAACCTCCCAAAGAGTACCTTGAAGCTCAGACTAACAAAGACAAAGACAAGGAAAAGGATTCAGATGACGATGTTTGGGGAAAAGAACCAGCAGAGCTTGCTGTTGATGAAGAGGATGACAAGGTATGCTTTGAAATGAATTGAGTTATGCATTGTTTTCATTTAAACCTAGTACTTGTCTTTTATTACCGATTACGAGGAATCTTCTACAGGTGCTCTATCATCTCCGAATACTTGCGTATTTTTTTATGGTTCTCACAATGTAGTTTCCTGTATGGTTGCAGACTGATAGTGATGCAAGTGAGAACACTCAGGATGATGAAGAAACAGATGCATCTGAACCTGAGTTAAACTCTTCAATAGCCCCTGGTTACAAGAGTCTTATTGCCATTCATGCTGGGAAACCCAAAGGTGGGATGAAGAATGCACTCAAAGTTGACCCTGATAAAGTTAGGCGCCTTAGTCTGAGTGAACAGGCACTTGAAAAAGCTACAATGTCCTATGGGACAGATGTTGTGAGGTAACTATTTACATAGTTTCAGACCAGAGACATTCCTTGTTTGATGTCTTGAATATGAATAAATGTAATTAATTTTTCTACTTTATTATTAACTTTTTTTCCCTAATTCATCAATATCAATGGATTTAGATTCACCCAGAGGAATTTCCTTAGAATATATCCCAAGGGTACTCGGTTTAACTCCTCAAACTACAAACCACAGATTGGTTGGATGCATGGAGCTCAAATGGTTGCCTTTAACATGCAGGTCATAATACTAAGAGCCTTTCTTCAATGCCGTTTATCCTTCTTGATTGGAATGGAAAGTTTGTTATGAACCAAATTTTATAAATCCAATTAAAAAAAGTTGTGGTCTAATTGCAGGGATATGGTAAATCTCTTTGGCAGATGCATGGGTTGTTTAGAGCCAATGGAGGTTGTGGTTATGTAAAAAAACCTGATTTTCTGATGAATGTCGATACGAACGGCCAGGTTTTCGATCCACGAGCTAAGCTACCTATCAAGAAAAGATTAAGGGTAAACATGATTCAATGTTTAACAGATTCCTATCCTTCTCATCCTCCTTTTATTGAATCCTCCATCGTCTACTTGACAGGTGAGAGTTTACATGGGAGATGGATGGAACTTGGATTTTAAGAAAACACACTTCGACACCTATTCGCCACCTGATTTCTATACAAAGGTAAGAACAATGTGCACCGGTAGCCGGAGGTGCTAATGGTTTATATATTTGCACCGGCACCCTGCTTCATGAATTTAATGCTGAATTTTTAATGCAGGTTGGCATAGCAGGAGTGCCAGCTGATGAAACAATGAAGAAAACAAAGACACAAGAAGACAACTGGAAACCCGTTTGGGATGAAGAATTTATATTTCCATTGACTGTTCCGGAATTGGCTTTGCTCCGAGTTGAGGTCCACGAGTACGACATGTCCGAGAAGGATGATTTCGCCGGTCAAACATGTTTGCCGGTGTCCGAACTGAAGCAGGGGATTCGAACAGTCCCCCTCTTTGATCGGAAAGGAGAGAAGTTAAACTCTTCAAGACTTCTAATGCGATTTGATTTTATCTGAGACTAAAAAGAGAGATGTCGATTTATTATGTATTTAGTTTGGTTGACGAACTACCTGTTTTGCTCCATACCCTCGAATGATAATAGCAATCACAACGTTTTCACAGAATGTTGATGCACGCGTTGCTCATCAATGGTGTTGCTTTCTGCAAATAGTGTTTTGATATTTGGAGTTCTCTAAAGCACATAAACTAATGCAAAATATCTTACAAGCTGTTGGTATAGTAATAAAGTGTAAGACATTGATGGTGCCAATTCATCTAAATGTGAGAAGAGCTTCAACTGATTTAAATCACATGTAATATTTCAGAAACACTCGAGCCAAATAAAATAAGAAAGAGAAATGTTTTACCTTGTCTGCTTATAGAGAAAATAAGTATTGCCCCTCTAGCTCAGTTGATAGAGCGCAAGACTCTTAATCTTGTGGTCGTGGGATCGAGTCCCACTGAGGGCAATTCATAACGGAGGTCTTCCACAAAAATTGCTCTCAACCTGACGTTGGGGGCACAACCTAATACCTTACCTCCCTCTTACCCCCTATTACCTATGAGAATAAGTCAGCTAAGCTTATAGAAAAAAAAAATCTCAACTTTTTGCTTTTGCTATGAGTAAAAGAAGCTGCATGGAATATGAAGTGTTTCAGCTCCCTTGCAGTCATTATTTCAGCATATTTTCTCACTTTATTGAAACGTCACTCCTGTATTTTCATCTGAAGAAAAATTTTGATAATTTCGGAGTTTGAATGATAAATTGATTCAAATGTTGTTGAGTAAAATGTGAAACCAATTGTTGATTCGTAAATGTATAGATGTGCAAGATTTAGGTAACATTGATGTCCAAATCGGTCAAGTCGGGCTTGCATATATTTTAACCTAAATGTGAAATATTTCTCTCAAATAGAGCATATCTTTTCAAAATTTGTTTTGAAATTAAAATTATAAATATTAAAAAGTTTCTTTCATGAAAACAATAATTTTAGAAATTCCTTAATTGTTTGATTCTCATTAATGCTTCGTTTAGTCAAAATTTTCCAATTGTTCACAATGTAAAATACCTTTAAATATCGTGTTAGGTTAAATACAAATCAAAACAACTCAAAACTATTCAAAATGTTCTTCTCTCCTCTAGTTTTTGGTGATAGACGAAACCAAAGAATAATTCGTGATCTCGGCAGTTGTGTTATTGTGCGCTGATTATTTTCTTGTTGTATCCTAAAAGACAAACGACCAAATATCTCAAGCACCAAAGAGTGGCCTAAAATCTATTTATTTATTTCTATTTTATATTCTTTTCAATTAATTAATAGAATATTTTTTTCATGTTATTAATCGTTTTTGCTTTATTTATTTTTTATATACACGAACTTTGAGACGAGATCCTGCAGTGGAATTAAAAGTTCTTTACCGCGACTTGTGTGAATCACCAGGTTTACCTAACGAAATTTGGTGAGAGTGTTTCAAGTCGACTCTTCGGATTACAATCGTTTCATCGGGTGGATGCATGGAGCTCAAATGGTAGCATTTAACATTGCAGGTAAACACCTTTTCAGGGGTAATATATTGGCTTCATTAGTATTACTTGATAGCTATCAATGGTTTGATTCATTAGCCTCTTATATGGAGGGAGGAGCTTGTTGGAATAACTGTTTTCTCTTCTGACAGGGACATAGACAGCATCTATGGATAATGCAAGGAATGTTTAAAACCAATGGTGGATGCGGCTACGTGAAAGAACCCGACTTTTTGTTGCAGAGTGGTCCGAATGATGAGGTTTTTTTATCCTAATGCGACCGTAATGAGGGTTAATCAATATTGCCCTACTACTTACGACTGCACCGTGTGATTCTTCATTTTGTCAATCTTCAATAGCTGAAATCTCTGACGTTTTCATATACAAGTAAAAGTTGTCTTGGGGGAAGGTTGGCATCCACCACACAGACAGACACCGCATCCGATCGCTATTCCCCACCGGAATTCTATACTAGAGTGAGACAAATAGAAGCATACTGATAATGCAGTTGGTGACTAAATTTCTGCATTTGCAGATTGGAATTGCTGGTAAGGCAAGCAGCAACGATGGAAGATGAATTAGCTGTGCTTCGGATTCAAGTCCTGATTTCAGATGCCAATCATTATTCGGCAAGAAGGGAAATAACTACAAACACGTAAGGCCTCTATTGGGGATCAATCAACTTTGAACTCCCTTACAGATTTGCTTGATGTTTGTAATGGGTTATCAGGCAAAAATAAGGGTCGGTTGCTTGGTCTTTTATATAAATATAAACTCAACTCAGAAATCTTGTTGCTAAAGGTTGGCATTAAACGGCTAACCCTGAGATTGCTTGCTTCAAAAGTTACAACGAAAAGTTGCGTCCATTTGGGAAGCATTGGACGCATATCGATTTATCCGTATGTGCTTATGTACTATTATTGCATAGGACAACCATAATCCATTAAAGATTTAGAAAAATAAATAAACATAATATTCTTTGGCTTCATAATCTCATCTAGTTTACCACGAGTAGTATAAAATTCTTCAAGCAAAATCTTAAAATGCCTTCCATGGATCATTTCTCTCTCTCATGGGGTGTGAGAATTTTCTTGAAGAAAAAGGTTTGCTCCGTGTAGGGAAGGATTCCACTTTGTGAGATGTAAAATGCCCTTTTTTAAATTTTATTTGATTTGGGGAAGCAATTCTCACCTTTAAGTGGAAGATGGAATATGTCGAGTGCTCGAATCTTCCAAATCCCGCAGTCCATCCAACAGGGAGTTGCTCCTTCCCTTTTATCCAAAGAATATATCTTTTTCTATATCTATATCTCTGCTTTTTCGCATATTAACAGGATTGAATTATGTCTAATTCAAGAATTAGCTTTAGAAAATAATGAGAATTATGAACCGGATGAAATTGAAGCGGATCCATGATGATATGTTAGGCCCACAGAGCGACCCATGAGAATCCCATTTTCTCCAAATTGAGAAGAAATGGTGTCACATCAAATGAACAAAGTGCCCATCTTATCGTTGAAGTTATACCCACAAACAAGGAAATAAATCAAAACCCCATTTCTTCTCTACCCTTTGGATTTTAGTGGCTTCAATTTGCTCTGCTTTCCATTGTGGTCTACTTTAAAATGACTGTTAAAGGTATCTCACTTGTTTTCTTTTGTAATTCATGTTTTGTGAATTTATCTTTAATCTGTGTATTTAGTAGTAATACTTTCTTCTTATCTGTGACTAGGAAGTAAAAGACGTTATTAAACGAATCCCACCATTTATTATTTTATTAGAAAAAAAAAACCTCAAACAACATTAACTAAAAAAAATACTTGCACTGCGAAGACCTCACGTTATGTGAAAAGTGAGGTCAAACATTACGTTGTATGAAAAATGAATTTCATGTATTTATTGTGCCCTTTATTCAATAATTAAATGGATTTTCTACTATTGTTTGGGGGCTCTTATGCCAATAAAATAATAAATGAGGTTTTTTTCGTTTAATAATGCCAAAGTAAATACCCTAACATCTCTCGTGGATAGAAATGGCAAAAACAGGATCCCGGATTGTTCGTTGTTTGGTCTGGCCTCAAAACAGAACAAACACAGCGGTAAACGTCAACATTATTTTCCAATGGTGCCCCCAAATGAATTCCTAATCAAGCAAAAAAGCCGCTTTGTGCAGAAAGTGAAAGATTTCAACGGACTGCATTACTAATTATATGAACACAACTGTTAACATATATCGGTTTAGTGAACGTATTATATTTAAAATCACTTGGTCTTAAAACAACCTTAGCCTCTCTTTTTTCCTCCTCCTTTTTATTCTTTACAATTTGTGTTAATTTTATTGATCAATCTAATTTTTTTGTTCTTTAATTTTATTTAATCGACGGTGACGCCGGTTTTAATGCCGGTTGTCGGCTGCCGATTATCTTTGTTTTCTTAGCTTTTTAATAAAATAATTATGTTTATGTGACATTCACATTCTCTACTTTTATGACATGTTTATCTATGTCTTTTGATATCTTACGGTGTTTTACCGTTATTTTTGTTAATCTTTTTTCTCATGATTAGATTTTACATCGTCACAACTAATCAAGATGACGTTATTTTGTTATCATGATGGTCTTCCCTGCTTTTGACCCTCGAATTGATTTAGGTACGCGTTTTGCGTTCGTGAATAGTTTTTTCACGTCGTTTTACTCTGATTTACGATTTATCGGTGGTCTTTCAGTAGTTTCATCTTTTTTTGTGGTTTGTCTACCGATGTAGTCAGATTTGTTCGTATCTTTATTTTATTCGAATTTTTTGGTTAATTTTTTAAACATTTTCCTTTTTTGGTCCTTATATAATATATATGACTAATTTTTGTCTCAATATGAAAATATCATAATTTATTTTAAGTTTATGTTTTTAAATTTTCATTGTAAATTTAGATACTTTATATTTTTAATAAAACTAACCACTTTATATATAAAAAAAAATCACTTGGTCTTACACATCCAAGCCATCCCATTGGTATATGTTATGGGTGGGTGGGTGGATTTGGATGAGGTCGGCTCATCACTATCTAAAATATAACATAAAAACGACAACGTTAAAGTATAAGGTATGAATATCTAAAATAATCTTATAATAAATATAAATTAAATAAATCTTTCAAAGAAAAAAATAAAATTCGGTTAACTCCAAGATCCAAATAAGGTGCGACGAGGCAAAGGGGTTTATGATGAAGAGCGAGTGTCCCTACGGCGATTGTGAGGCTGAAAGATCGATAGCGACGGAGATTGGCTGAGCTTCAGCATCATCTGTTACTATCCAAATCATAGATGAGAGAGAATTTATATGCATTAACTTATCCGTATCTATGATAATATTTTTAACTATTTAATAATTTAAATTTAAATAATTTTATAAATATCGTATTCAAATATAAAATTTTTAGAGATAATAATTATTTATTTAACGCATAAAATTATTTGTCCGTACCTTATTTATAATTTTTTAATTTTAAAGAAGAAGAAATATTTTATATTAATATAATTAAAAACAAAATATACATTTGATATTATTAAGATTAAATTGATTC